CAAATCACAATTAAAAAAAAAAATGTATAAAAGAAAATGATTTAAAACTTTGGAAACCCTAAAAAAAAAAAAAAAATTAAACCGGAATCTAGTTTATTGTGTAAACCTTGACTTAAAATACAATAAAATATTATTTAAAAATAATAATAATAAAGACAGATCTTTTGTAATGATGAATGCCATGCCATTCCTCTTTGATTTGTCATTCCCAGCATAGTAGATCATACGGTTTTCTGATTCAAAATGACCAAAACCAGTCCATTTCAGGTCACTAATGTCTAGGATATCAATCTTTATGTGTTCCATTTCATTTTTGACAATTTCCAACTTTCCTAGATTCATACTTTGTACATTCCATGTTCCGATTATAAATGGATATTTGTAGCTGTTTCTCCTCAATCTGAGTCCTGCCACATCAGCAAACAGAGGTCTTGAAAGCTTTACTTTACCCCTATCAGTAAGGTTGGTTCTACTCTGATGATGCAGCTCTATCCCAGCTGTATTTCGAGAGCCTTCCGACCTAAGGGGCTCATCCTCCTGCACTGTATTGGACAATGTTTCTGGGCTATTCATAAAGTTGCACAGTCATGTATCAGACAGTGTTTCTCTGCTATTCCTAAGCTCCTTATGCACATTTATTCTACTGAAAATACCATGGCTTGGGTCAGGTACCTTAAGTCTTCACAGTGGTATCTTTGCTCTTTAACACTTTAAAGAGGTGTTTTGCAGCAGATTTGCCCAGTGTAATGCATCAATTCATTTCTGGACTGCTGCTTCCATGGGCACTGATTTTGGATCCAAGTAAAATGAGATTCCTGACAACTCCAATTTTTTCTCCATTTATTGTGATCTTGCTTATTGGTCCAGTTACAAGGGTTTTAGTTTTCTTTATGTTGAAAAAAGGTTTAAGGTGGGAAAGAATATATCGAAATATAGCGTAGCATATCTGAACATAGCAATATGTGCTCAACAAAAAATATACATCAAACTGTTAGTCTCAGTAGGGAAAAAGGTGAGGTAATGAATCTGTGGAGGGAGTAGTATTTCTTTGTTCTTTTTTTAAAATTTGTGTTGTCTGGCTTGTTACACTGAGCAAGAATTAAAATTTTGTTTTTTAAAATCTAGTAACAGATGAAAACTACCCCAAATTCTAATGAGAAAGTTGCATGATTAACATCAAACAAAATCTAGTGCAACACATAAATAACATAGAAGGCTCTTTTATTTCCACAAAAGGCTCAATCTATCCTGAAGCTTTAACAGTCTTGAATTAATAGCAAAACATTAAAATATATAAATCATTTATCCTTCCTCTGGTGCCTGTATCTTGATTTTCCTACGGCCACTATCACTGACCACTTAGTCCATGTAGTTCAGGAAGTACTAACTCTGTGCCTTGCTCACGGATGGGATGCGTCTAAGTGTGTATGTATAGGTACACTCCATAGGTCTGGCCAATCAGAGAATTACATTGAGATCCGGCCAGTGACTGGTCCAGGAATGGGCATAATACCCTGTCAGAGTTAACCCTAGAATCATACTAAAATGACTGGGAGAGAAGTTTCTCTTTTTGTCTGGAATTCAATATGGGAACACTTGCATGTAAGTCTAAACCTATTAAGAGCAACACTAGGAGAAAAGCCTGGCTGACAGCAAAACCTATAGACAGAGAAGAAGTCAGTGCATAGACTAGGTTCTAATGTTACTGCTGGAGATCTACCTAGCTGAACCTGAATCCCCTAGGTTTTTCAGCTGTTAGTTAATAAATACTCCTTTTTTGCTTAAACCAGTTTGAGTTTCATCAGCTACAACTTAAAAAGCTTCCAGACTAAGAGTCTTCCTAGCTAAGTTAGAACACTGGAGTATATAAATCCAAACTGAATCTAGCCATTGAGTTGAGTCTGAATCATGGCAACCCTATATGATAGAGTAAAACTGCTCCATAGGGTTTTCTTGACTGTACTCTTTCTGGAAGCAGATATAAGGCCTTTCTTCTGTGGCAGCATGTGTGGGTCTGAACCACTAACTTTTTAGTAGTTAAGTGCAAAATGTATGTGTCATCCAACTCTATAAAGACCTCTGAAAATTCACTTATACAAATATTTAAAAACCCAAATCAAACCCACTGTCATCAAGTTGATTCCAAATCGCAATGACCCTGCAGGACAAAACAGAACTGCCCGTAGGGTTTCCAAAGGATGTACATCTCTACAGAAGCAGAATGCCTTATTTTTCTCCCACAGAGCAGCTGGTGGGTTCTAACTGCTGACCTCCTGGTTAGCAACCCAACGTTCAGCACCACTAGAGGTCCTTACAAATATTAACAGTGCTCAATAACCACTCTTTGTTTCCACCTTGGATTATGGCAGCAAAGAGAAAGGCTAATTGAGGAATCTCTGGGCTGTGTATGCCAAAATACTGATAGCATGTTTCTTCTACCCAACTGTTTTTAATAAAAATATTCAAACTCAGAAAAGTTAAAAGACTAATGCACTATTCACCCACTTACTACATCCACTACTTAAATTTTAGAATTCTTAATATTTGCTTTTGAGGTAAGGGGCAGAAAAATTTGAAAAGGCATAACACTTTACCCCTAAAATACTTCAATACTTCACCATTTTTCATCTTGGAGAGCTGGATTCTAACTGTAACTCTTTAAATTAAAAAAAAAAAAAAAAAAGCCCACTGACATTGAGTTGATTCTAACTCACAGCAAATCCCACTAGATTACCAAGGCAGTAAATTTTTATGGAAGTAGACTGCCTCATCTTCCTTCCGTGGAGCAGCTGGTAAGTTTGAACCACCAATCTTCTGGTTAGCAGTCAAATGCCTCAGGCACTGGCCACCAGAGCTCCTAAACTCTTTAAATTAGGGCTTCCACAAACATCTCCACATTCCTGTGAACTATTTGAGTACCTATTTTTATAATTCATCTCAGCACTTTAAGGTGTTTTCTTAAATTCCTACTAACTGCTGTAGGTATTCTTATGTATTGAATTGTGTTCCAAAAAATGTGTCAACTTGGCTGGGCCATAATCCTGATTATTATAGAATTTCCTCCATTTTGTAATGTCATATAATTATTCCATGTTTTGTAAATCCTCACCTCTACGATGTTAATGAGGCAGGATTATAGACAGTATGTACTTTATAGGATTAGACTGAATTTTGAGTCAATTTCTTTTAAAGACATAAAGGGGATTAAACAAGAGATAAGAGGAACCTTAGTACCACCAGGAAGGAAGAACTGAGCATGTCTTTGGACCCAGGGTACCTGCATTGGGAAACTCTTTGACCTACAGGAAGATTTTTTTTTTTTTTCAATTTTTATTGTGATTTGGGTGTAAGTTTACAGAGAAAACTCATTTTCCATATAGCAATTCATACACATTTTGTTTTATGACATTGACCTCAATCCCCACAATGTAACAGCTCTCTTCCCACTTCCTCTCAGACCCAGGGGAAAATCAGTGCCAACACATACAGAGATCTCCAAGGGACACTGCACTCACAGATGTTGAAAGGAGAGAAGAAGAACCTTCTGCTAGAGCTGACACAGAGAAAAAGCTTTCCCCTAGAGCTGGCACCCTGAATTTGGACTTCGAGCCTGCTAAACTGTAAGAGGATAAATTTCAGTTTGTTAAAGCCATCCGCTTGTGGCATTTCTGTTACAGCAGCACTAGATAACTAGGTCTTTCCGTAGGGAAGCATGAGTTTTAAGAGAGATGCACATTTTCTTTTAAAATGATTTCCCACATTACTAAGTACAGAAATCAGCTCAGCAGACTGAAGATCAACGCTCCTTTCATACTTGTTGAGTAGTAATAAATACTAGATGGACAAGGTGCCATGGGTTAATAGAAAACATTTTCTATTGATTCCATTAGTCACTATGAATAATCATTGGAATTAGAACACAACTCTCTAGATGGGCTCTCGCAAAGAAACTTCACAAGCAAAAAGAAGGGGGTATGTCTATACTCTCAGAATTAAAAAAGGTAGAATTCTATAATCAGTAGAAACTCACACTCACCTGGGATCTGGCTGTTAGGCGCAGAGCTGCCACTTCTTCTGTACTCCTCTCTTGGGTAAGTGGAGAATCCTGGGAAAGCAGAACTAAGGGCAAGAAAGCAGTAAGGTAGGGCCTAGAACTATCCTGTGACTAAGAAGTACTGGTCGGAAAATTCCCCTACCATATTTATGGTTCTATCCCTACTCTCTATAAAAACTGAGGCTGAAAGGAGCCTAAAACAACGCTACCACTTCCCAGGATGGTAGACAATGTCCAGAAATGCTGCTCCTTGGGACTTAAATTCAGTCCCTATGATCACGTCATTCTCAAAGGCAGCATTCTCTGGTCTAGAAATTGGAATGACTCAGTTTATTTCCTAGCTTAATCTAGTCTAGATCAATATCAGAGAGGTAGGCTCAATGATTTTCAGAAATCACCCTGGAAGCTTATTTAAAACATAGATTCCTGGACCACATTTCCACGTAACTATCAATGGTTGAGTCTGAGGTGCAATCTAGAAACCTGAAATTTTAACAAGTGTCCAAGAGTAATTCTGATGCAGAACATCACACACCAAAACCCATGACTGGAAGTCACATCACTGACTTTTATACCTGTTTTCTGCTTTGTAACCTTTGCGCTATTGAAATAATTGGGCTATTATAGTGAGGATAAAGTGGGATAATAAAGTGGGAAAAAATTTTTGCTAAATGAAAAGCTAAATTCTCAGACTCATTCATGGACAGTTAATCATTTGAGGGGAAGAACTCATGAGGAAACAAAAGTAACTGAAGCTATGCTCAACTTCGGAGGCTAACATTCATTCACGTTTTTGGGTGGCTTGGAAGGGTACATTGTATGCCCAGCAGGAGTGGGAAGGCAGGTGATGCCATATCATAGCAAGCTCTCCTTTCTCACTCAAAGACCTCATTCAATTCCCAAGCAATGGAGATAGCTCTCTTTGCCAAAGGCCATCTTTCTTGGGGCAACTGTTTTTCCCTTTGGCAGAATTCTGCTTCTTTACTCACCTTTCCTCTCAGGCATTTCAGCCAAATCTGTCTCCATGGTTTACACCTCTCCTCCCCGTTATGAAGATTCTGATCTTCACTCAAATTCGGACGTCTCTAGACAGAATAATCAGAAGTTCCCGAGCCCTCGTTGTCCTCTTTCCTGCCAGTCTCTGTGGGATCTTCTGGAAGGTGTCCGTTAGGTCACTCTGGAGCCTGGTTCGGTCCTACAGAGGTGGGGCCTGGAAACCCGAGAGCAGCATCCCTGAAGCTGGGAGGGTTTTGTCGGAGGGAGCTGTCCCCGGGGACTGAGCGTCTGCAAGAGGATGAGCTGAAGCCGCCGCGTCGCCGCCAAGGCATAGAAGCGCGGAAAAATCGCGCCGCGCACAGGGTTCTTGCCGCCAAGCCACGACTCTCCCGCGACCCGCCGCTCCGCTCGGGTGCACCCACGTCCCCGTAGGACTCTGGGGACCCGCTGGGTTGAAGAGCGTAGGTTTCGAAACTGCGGGAGGGATTCAGGCCAGAGGGTGAGGGGATGTGGGCTCAGCTTCTGGCCTCGAGGCCACTTTCAGAAACAGGCGCTGCAGCCCTGACTCGCGCTGAATGACCCTCCCTGGAGCCACCACCCATACAGAGCCGAGAGGTGCCGCGTTGGAATAACCAACTCACCTAGCACCGCGGGTCTCACAAAGGCTACGAACTTCTCCGGCCAGCTTAGAGTTGCGCATGCGTAAGGGCAGTGGCATGGCTGGCAGGCCGGGCTCCGCTCCAGAACTATGTTTCCCAGAAGGCGATCGGGTCGTGGGACTTCCGTTTTCCAGTACGTGGGAGCACGCGTGGGGCGATTGGGAGATTCGGAGGACTAGTTAGCTCCTCCTCTCGCGAGAGCTTGGGGTCTCAGCGCAAGAATTGGTCCTCCGGAAGAAAGAAGAAAAGAAGGCGCGAATGTTGGAGGTACGGATTGCAGTCTCTCCTTGTCCTGGGGCTTTGCCTGCATTTGAGATTACAGCCCAATGCTTCCAGCTGCTGAAGAGGTCAACCCAAATTACTCTGGTGTAAACTATCTTAAAAGTATCTGGCCCTTACCCAATTTTTGTTCGCCCAAAACCATCCTTTGCCGTGTGTTGGATTACCCATTGTGTGAAGTAAGCACGGGCTTACTTGTGCTTACTTACTAATCTATAGTGAATAAATTTACATTTTTTCACTACATCAAAGACTCTGCTTCTAGGTATGTCTGGCATCTATCTTGTCTGCCAACCCCACAGCACTTTTCTACAGAATTAAAGACTTGCATATTTATAATCCCTGACAGACTGAATATCCAGTAAGCAAATTAAGCAGGTGAAATTGTTCACTACAGATTAGTAAGTAGGCATGAGTGTACCCCTTCTCTTCTCAATGAATTACACTGCCCACTCAACCCTTTGGGAGCTCTGGTGGCATAGCACCTAAGGCATTTGCTAACCAGAAGGCTGGCGGTTCAAACCCACCAGCCCCTCCTGGGAAGGAAGACTGGGCAATCTACTTCCCTAGTGATGCTGTCTCAGAAACCCAAGGGGGGGTCACTGTGAGTCGGATCCGACTCTATGGCAGTGACTTTGGTTTTTCGGTTTTCTCACTCCTTTGCACAAGCCAGACCAGAATATCATCCTCAGCCTTTTTCTCTCACTGTCATCAAGGCCTATTAATTAATTCTTGCCTTTCCAATTTGTTCACATATCTTCATTCCAATTAATAATTCTTTAGTTATGGCCGTTATCATTGCACTAGGATTACTGGAATTCCCTACCTCCAGTCCCACCCCCCACCCCTTACCGGTGTGTTTTCCACACTTTCTGAGCAGAGAGAGTTCTAAAGCAAGAATGTGATGTTACTTTACCGCTTAAAGCATGCAGTGCCTTTTGAAACTCAAGGCAAGATGAATTACAGTTCCCACCAGGTGGCACTGAAGCAGGGGGAAATTGAAGCCTACTTCCGGGCTTCTGTTTTTTATCTAGCCAAGCTGACACAAGGTTTTCAGCCAACCCAGCAGGTTTCTGTTTCTATCCCATACCCCCACCCCCACCCCCACCCACCCCTTGCTTAGCCACTTCGTTATTTTACCTTTTTGGGAGATACCAGGTGTTCCAGTACACCAAGGACAGCTTGGTAACCAACTCAGACCAGTTTTGGCCTGCAGACATGTGCATTGAGAAACAACTAAGTTGCTTGGAACATCTCTTTTTCTGCCTTGTGAGGGAATTAATTGCATAGTGGTTAAGACACTTGCCTGCTAACCAGACGGCTGGCGGTTCAAACCCACCAGCCACTCCTCGGAAGGAAGGTTGGGCAATCCTACTTCCGTAGTGATAACTGCCTCGGAAACCCAAGGAGGGGTCGCTATGAGTCGGGGCCGACTCACGGCACTTAACAACAACAACAACAACAATATCAAGAACTATTGAATTGGCTAAATCGTTTGAAAATCGGGATATGATAATAATAATATAGGAGGCTTACCACAAACTGTAACTTTAATATTAGAACATGCTAGGCAGGTAAGGATCGTGTTGAATTTTCTGCTCTTGGCTATTCTCACCACCTTACTTAAGCACCCTTTAGTCCTGTTTTATGCTGCAAACTGATTGTCAGTTTTTCTGCAGAATCATCAGAAAGTGTCACTGTCACATCCACCGATGCTCATATCAGGCCCCATAGCACCAAGTTCTAGGGAAAGGTGTTAGTATTGAATCCTATAAAAACAAACAGCTGATAGAGAGCAGACATATACCCCCCAACTCTTCTGTTTGCAATCTGCCCTGTCATCAGTTAAGCAAAACCAAACCAAACTCCCTGCGGTCCAGTCAGATCCGAGTCATAGCGACCCCTCCTTGGGTTTCCAAGGCAGTATCACTAGGGAAGTAGATTGCTCAATCTTCCTTCCGAGGAGTGGCCAGTGTGTTTGAACCATCAGCCTTCTGGTTAGCAGTCAAATGCCTTAAGCACTACACCACCAGAGCTCCTATATCATCAGTTAGGGGATGAGAAAACCAAAAACCCAAACTCACTGCCATCAAGTTGATTCCAACCCTTTGGGTCTTCGAGGCAGTAAATTTTTTTTTTTT